GTAGTGAACATAGGGTTTGGTACTATCCAAGCTTTCAGGCATCCCCTGGGGGTCTTGCAAAACATCCCTTGAGGATAAAGTGGGTGGCTGCTATAGTTATTTATATACAGGCATTTATATGATTTGGAAAGATATAACTAAATAATTTTCAATTTTTATGTCAATGGTGCGAAATTACAGAACATAATTGGTATGGGAAATTCTCTTTGTATATTAGATACAATCAGTCCCCAGATTACAAACGAATTTCTTTCGTTAACATTATCTTTAAGTCAAGTTTGTACATAAGTCAGTTAGTTATGATTTGTATATAATGTCAGTCAAAAGTTTGGCTTAGTATACTCTGTACAATTCTATGCATAAAAACATTAAAGAAACATCCAGATACACTAAAACATCTTTACCATGATAATACAATAATAATAACAATATTTTGATTTTTCATTATGAACCATTGTATGGACATTGAATTTTTATTACCACAGGCTTTACAGAGGTTGCTTCATAACCACAGATTGTATGTAGTTCACATGGATGTAAACCTCAATACTAAATTGTTTATTTAGATTTCTATCCATCATCTACATTGAATGAGACAAAACCTGTCTATTTAAATGTAGAAAGATGTTTCAGACCTCTTTTATTACTTCAGCTTTAGAGTTGTTCCAAATCGGATAAACAGTGATTTTTAAATTATACATTTTGCATAACTTTTTTTAATGAGTGATATGAAATTATTTTGTATTGTTTACCTAAGAAGCAGTATTTTTCTTCCTCTATATTGGTGTAATGCCTAAGGCATTTGACTGCTAACCGGAAAGCTGGTGGTTCAAACCTATCAGCCACTCCTCAGAAGGAAGATGCTGCAATTTACTTTTGTACAGATATCGCCTTGGAAACCCAAGGAAGGGTCCTTATGAGTTGAATCGCCTCAGCGGCAGTGAGTTTGTTTTTTCTTATATTATATGGGGTAAGAAATTTAACCCTTAAAAAACCCATTTTCAAAAGTTCATGCTCTTTATTGAACACTATCATATTAGGTCTTGATTCATATTGCAATTTTGTGCCTGGTTCAAAGTTTATTTGCATATGAGGTCTATAACAACCTTATGGAACATATATTTCATACACATGTGTATAAATACTGGAATAATCATTCATTATCTATTTACAATATTCTAAAAGAAATTGCCACATTAAATAATTCTGAACTTATTTTTACCCTAGAAAAAATTACGTAGATAAATTAATTAGCTATTGTTAAAGTATAATAACTTACATACCCCATGTCCATTGCATTTTGTCAATGAGTTACAATTTGGTCTCTTCTCATAGCCATGCACACTTAGACAATTTAGGCTCTTACAAAACTAAAATGACAAAACAAAAACAACAAAAAGTTTAAATGTAAAAAGTTGAGCAAACATATTTAGTAAAAGATATATATACAACAAATGAACCAAGACCTCATGACACCTACTAATTCTAATGTAAAAGAACTTGTAGATATTGTGAAAATAGTACAAGTTATTACTTTATAAAATATCTATGTTTAGGAATGATATACCATTTTTCCCTTGAAAGAGCAGAGTTATGTATGCATTGTTATAAATTGCAATAATAACAACAAAGGCCAGTATGTACTCAACATTTGTAATGAGCTAGGGCCTGTTATAACACATATGTGTTTTCACATTATAAACTCATATTGACCCTATGAGGGAGATATTGCTATCCTCCTCTTATATTTCATGAGAATAAAAATTGCACTTTTAAAATAATACTACAACTTTTTGACAGAGCCAGTTTTCAACACAATAACTATTTTACTCACAGATGCCATTGATTGATAAATGTTGTAAAGCAAAGTTCCTATCATTTTTACATTTTTTTTTCAAATTTAATAACAATATCTCTTATCTGTTACATTAGAAGTGTGACTTTGGGTAAATTATTAACCACTGCATTCTTCAATTAATCCATATGTTAATCTGGGATGAAAACTATATTTATTTCATAGATTATGAGAATTTTATAATTTGCTACTATACATAAGGAGCAAGAGTAGTGCCTGATACATAGTAAATGCCTATTAAACATAAGCTGTTTTTTTCAACATTTACTTACTTAGTTAACCTGATTTAGAATGTAAACTTTGTTATTGATGTTAATTATTTCTCTGGTAGTGTAGTGCTTAAGGCACTTGACTGCTAACCAGAAGGCAGGAGGTTCAAACCCACCAGCCACTGCTCGGAAGGAAGATGGGGCAATCTACTTCCGTAGTGATACTGCCTCGGAAACCCAAGGAAGGGTCACTATGAGTCGGGTCCAACTCGACGGCACATAACAACAACAACATCCAAATTTTAACTTGAATTATTTGGGGACAATTACTAAGACTATATGCAGGTTTTTCTAAAGTTATGGAATTTCCAATATAGAGGGAAAAGTCCAAAAAAAAATCATTGTTGTTTGTTTCTACAGGGAGATAACAAAAGAACATATATCAGTTTGTTCATTAACTGAAAGTCCTCTAATAAAACCAGCAAGAATAACAATGTTGGAACAGACAGCACAACCTTTTCACAGAATTGGTAGCATAGTGCCTAAGGCACTTGACTGCTAACCAGAAGGCTGGCAGTTCAAACCCACCAGCCACTCCTCAGAAGGAAGATGGGGCAATCTACTTCCGTAGTGATACTGCCTCAGAAACCCAAGGAGGGGTCGCTATGAATCATAATTGATCTGATGACAGTGGGTTTGGTTTGGTGTTCCTTAAACATTGTAATTGACAGTAATAAGTTTTACTACACAGGGTCATTATTTATTTATTTATTTAATTGTGATTTGGGTGAAAATTTGCAGAGCAAAGACACTTTCCATACAGCAGATCACATACACTTTTTCTCATGACATTGACCACAATTTAGCACAATGCAACATCTCCTCTCCCACTTCCTCCCGATAGCTACTAGGGAGACACTATATAAAGCACTTATCCATGGCCAACGGTCTTTTGAGAATGAACTAGCACATGCTACTTATTCCTTTGAATAAAAGACAATTAATAATGTACCAAAAGTAGTCACATCACCAAAATATATATCTCTTAAATAGAAATACTTAGAGTAGGTAAGCATATTTTCTTACAGTTCTGAATATTGAATGAGTAGGAGACAGCCAATTAATTTTCTTTATGTATTTTTTATCTTATTTATTTGGAGACAAAACTTGCCCCCAAATATTCTTTTATTTATTAAATGAATGTCTTTAGGTGTTCTCATGTACCCTAGTCAAATATGTGGGCCAGAATCTGTTTGATAAGCCATTTCCTTTATCTAAATCTTAAAAATAACAAAACCAAACAAATTTTCTCTCTGAACAATATTAAGCCAACTTACTTTCTAGAAAAATGCCTGTCCGTATACATTTTATTTTTTTCAAGCTACCTATATTTAACAAGTCTTTTCTTTCTAACTTCTCTGAAATCAGCTGAACAATGTAGAATAAAATACATAAGAATAAATGCATTTGTATTTAATTTCAAAATAATTACAGAATGACTACAATTCAAACAGAAAATCCTGACAAACAATAGCCTCCTCTTTCCACCACCACCCATCTGTAATGTTGTCATACTGTGGTGGCTTACGTGTTGCTATGATACTGGAGCATATGGCACCAGTATTTCAAATACCAGCAAAATTTTCCATGAACACTTTCCAGTGGAGCTTCCAAACTAAGCCACACTAGGAAGAAGGATCTGGAAATCTATTTCTGAAAAAAAGTTAGCCAGTGAAAACCTTATGAATAAAAGCATAACATTGTGGGATATAATGCTGAAAGATAAATCCTTCAGATTGAAAAGCTCTCAATATATGACTAGGAAGAGCTGCTTCCTCAAAATAGAATTGACCTTAATGACGTGAATGGAATAAAGTTTTTGTGGACCTTCATTTGCTAATGAGGCATGACTCAAAACGAAAAGACACAGCTGCAAAGTACCAAAAAAAAAAAAAAAATTACTTGCCTTATTTGAACCACATATAGTGCCATCCTCCACAAAGGTGTTGTCATGTAATTTTCTCAATGTGGCATTTCTTAAAAATGCAGACAAACATACATGTCCTCCCATATAAGTATATTGTATGTCATAACCAGGCACTTGTACTAGTTCTGATTTTGTCCAATGACAAACTACTTTTCCACAAAGGATGGCTCTGGCAGTGTAAGGCAGAAAATATTACCCATTAGGGATAGGAAATATTAGGTAAATAATTCAAAACATGAAAATAATTAAAAGTATTACTCAACTCTGATCATAATATGAAAGCTATTCAAAACACTTATCTTTTAAGTACAAAATACAAACTCCCTTGTACACACTGAGTTTATCTCTTATTTTCATTAAGAGACTCTTTAATGTAAAAACACATACACACACAATTTGGAAAATGTATACTTTTCTAAGTACATACGCAAAGGAACATCTCCTTGATTTACAGTTTCCAAAATCATCTGTTTGAAAATTCACTTCTTGTGTACACAGATAATCAGCACTCTTAGCAACTGAAAGTGTAAACAAAATTTAAATTACTCATCTTAAACAAAATCTTAAACATTAAAAGTTATAATTAACAGAGACAGACTACAGTAATGAGTTCTATCAGTATTATTTATTTTAAATCTATGAAGTCATCTACTGGCTATTCAAGGAGGAGAAATATTTACTAAAACTTATCTATTTAATAGGAAAATTGAAATCATCGGGGAGTCAGTCATGTACTTTCTTATATACTATTTTTTTAAAATATATACTATTTTCTTATTTGTAATCTTTATGGAGGAAGATCACTAGGTTTTTCTCCCATAAAGCTGATGGTTTGTTCACATAATGATTACATGAGAGAAAACCCAATAGGGCAGTTCAACTATATCACATGGTGTCACTATTAGTTGGAATCAACTTGATGGCATCTTAGAATACAACATTTTCTCACCCACTATTCTTATCTACCATTCCTTCAAACAAGCAAAATTTAACTATTATCCTACATTTTTTCTCCTGTAGTTATTAGGTCTGTTTTACCTTTCAGGATACTAAAAACTGGTCCTATTAAACACTGCAATTTTATTTTGTTTTCCAATTAAGATAAAATATCAACACTTTTTAAAATGCCTAGTGAGTGGATTGGGAGCTCTGGTGGCATAGCACCTAAGGCATTTGACTGCTAACCAGAAGGCTGGTGGTTCAAACCCACCAGCCACTCCTTGGAAGGAAAGTTGTTCAATCTACCTCAGTACTGATACCCCCTCGGAAACCCTAGGAGGGGTCATTATGAGTCGTGTCTGACTCGAGGGCAGTGAGTTTGGTTTTTGGTTTAGTGAGCGTATTATTGACTTTAGAATAACTATAGTTTGAAATTAACTCCAGAAAAAGAAATGACTATTACATTTTCCAAACAACTCTACACACTGTCTTTCCATAGTTCGGCATATTCCACCATAGCAAAAAGCGGTGAAATTCAGGCACGGTTCTAAATCAGCAGATACCACATCAGGTACGCAAAATTCAGATGTTCCATTACAATACTCTGTAAAATCACATGGGTCTCGGCTTTTCCTACATATTTGTCCGCGTTCTGCTATCTGTGAGGAAAAGAAAACAAAACCAAAATCAAAACAAAGCTATTTTAAGGTCTAAAAAAAATGTAAATAATGAGTTTACATAGGTACATTGCATTTGTAAATATTATTTCTACCACTATTACACCATTATTGCATTTTGAACTATTTCAATTACAGATTTACTTAAAAGTTCTAGGAAACTAAGATGAAAACATCTCAAATGTCCATTAATGGATGAATAGATACACAAATTGTGGTATATGCAGACAATGGAATATATTATTCAGCCATAAAAGGAATGAAGTATTGATATGACATGGATGAATCTTGAAAACATTGTGCTCAGTGAGAAAAGCCAGACACAAAAGTCACATATTATATCATTCTATTTATATCAAATATCAAGAATAGGTAAATCCATAGACAGAATGCAGTTGGAGGAATGCCAGAGGCTAGGGAAAAAGGAGAATGGGAAGCAACTATTAATGGGTACATGATTTTCCTTTAGAATGATGAAAATGGTTGGAATATATTCATTGCCACTAAATTGATCATTTTACAATGGTTAATTTTTATTACATGAATTTCACCTCAAGAGATAAATAGTTTTCATAATAGCTCTCATAACTAAATTTTTTGGCCATCCTGAATATTTGCTTCAAGATAAATAGAAAATAACTGATATAAAGTTAGGCAATTTTTTTTTTTTTTAAACTTTTGATTCTTGGAGCTTAATTACACTCCTGAATAGCTGCACTATCTCTGATGCCAGTCTTTAAAATAGTTATGATAAATACTAATTATGTCTTTATTTAGCTTAAGCTTCTTAGTTGTTTGTTTTCCTTGTTTGGCCATTCTGCATCAAGCTACAACTGATTAGCATAGAATTGCTATTATATGTTATTATGGGATATAAATTAAATTTTAATAAAAGTAGATCTAAGTACTGGTTACAAACATGTCAATCACTGTTATATATTAGCAAAGCAACTGTTTAAACTATTGTCTTTCGTATCCTTACACTTGAACTTATGTCTAGCTAAGCTCAAAATTTATTTAAAAGTCTTACAACAAGTCTCTAATTTTTAGACAATCTTTGATGGAAAATTATATATTTGAAAGTAGAGAGGGAAAAAAATAAACTTGCTATAAGAAGGCTTTTATGACGATAACCAGTAATGAACGAGCTGAGTGTAAGATGATTGAAACCTTGTTGTTGTTGTTGTTGTTATTTGCCATCGAGTCGGCCCCGACTCCTAGCGACCCCTCCTTGGGTTTCCGAGGCAGTTATCACTACAGAAGTAGGATTGCCCAACCTTTCTTCCGAGGAGTGGCTGGTGGGTTTGAACCGCCAGCCTCCTGGTTAGCAGTCAAGTGCCTTGGCACTATGCTACCAGAAACCTTAGAGAATAGGAAAGGCCGAGTTCTATGCCATAATATAAAATAAAGAGACAATGTGAACTAAAGTAGTACATTGAGTTCTTGTCCCTGAGGCCCTCCTTAGCAACCTGGACTGTGAATTTTCTTTCTACAAAAATAACAATTATCTTCATTTTAAAGATCTATCCTGTGGGATGTCATCAGAAGGCAATGGACTGTTTAGGAAAGCTTTATTCCTTCAGTGCACTGGTGTGCAGACAAAGGCCCACATGAGAGCTCTGTGGAATGGAAAAGGAACCAGGCCAACTGCTAAGAATAGAAACTCTAAGCTGACCTCTGCATTGATGCACCTTGAAAAGAGATAACTGTTGACTTTGTTTACAAGACAATAAAGCAAATAAATGATACCCCATACAACAGAGTAAATTAGATTTCATCCACATAGAAAAAAACAAATCTGGAAATCACCAATCTCTTATTAATCAACCTTTATGTCTGTCCCACACCCCTGGAAGTACATCAAACAAAAGCGGATGCTAAAAGGAAGCAATCCCCAGGAAATAAATCTTACCCACTTTTCATCACAGATGTGACTAGAAAGGAAATGTGAATGAAAGCACCTGCAAAGGAAAGTCAAGGACTCAACGCACTCTCAGGGTCAGGAGTCCCTGCCAAAGCTGAACTTCAGCATTTGTTACATGGCACTTATCAATGACTATTCCACATGATTCCTTTTATTTTCAAAATGAGAGTTTTTATTATTATGTCTTATTTATAGTAACATTGCCTATCAAGTATCTGTTAGGCAGTTTACTTATTATCCTGTCATAAGTTACTGGATAAAGAAGAGCTACATTCAGGCAAGACAAAGAGGAATTGATAGCATTCAATAACTGATGGGTCTTGGATAGATATTGAACTCATATGTCAAAAGCAGATCTAAGAAAGAGACTGAAAGACACCTTAGAACATCCTCTGATACTGGAACCAGCTGTGTAAAAATTGGATTTCTGTCATTTACCAACACAAGAGACTGATGAACTTGAAAATGATTGCAATAATAGAAATAATAGAAGATAAGTCCAGGAATAAATAACACATCTTCTAAAAACTGTTTAAAGGAGTATTTGATCACATGTAGAAAATATTCACGTACCATTATGAAACAGGGGAGAAAAAAGTTCACTACAAAGTATATAAGGAAATATATTTGAAATATTTTTTAAAAAATGTAAAACAAAACTGAAAAACAAATTGACAAGAACATAAACATTCAGGAAAGAAAACAACATTGTAGTTTGAAAGCTTACCACACAAGTTTTTGCATCACAACATGTCCCAGTGCCACACTCTGCGAATCCAATGAGAGTACAATCTACAGGATTGCAGCACTTTTTATACTTACAATCCTAAAATAAAACATAATCATGTTAAACTATGAATTTTCAATCAAATAAGTGATTTTACTTATTTTAAAATATACCAAAGTATATCTCTAAAATAGTTAAAATCATATATTGTTTTTCTTACTTGTGTTTATTTTAATACCCTTTTATTTAAATTTAATATATTTTCTCTAAAAGAATAAAAAATGATGATGAAATTATACATGGTAGCGTAGTGTTTAAGGCACTTGACTGCTAACCAGAAGGCTGGTGGTTCAAACCCACCAGCCACTCCTTGGAAGGAAGGTTGGACAATCTACTTCCGAAGTGATACTGCCTCAGAAACCCAAGGAGGGGTCGCTATGAGTCAGGTCCAACTCGACAGCACACAACAACAACAACCTACTCTCTTGTTAAATAGTTAATGAAATTACTTTTAGTCTCCTATTTTTGCATAAATATATGTAATACAGAGTTTTTAGATTCCATTTCAGTTTATTATAGCATAAGTACTTTTCCATATAATGATGTATTATGAAAATACCATTTTTGGATTATATAACAATTCATGGAGATAACAAAGCAGAGTTCATTAAACTTTTGAAATATTTCCTTATTGAAAATGATGTTTCAAAGAACAATTTTGTTTTTATTATTACTTTAGTGTTCTCATTTTATATTAAAGATTAATTCTATGACTTTAGTTTTTAGGTTATGTTGTTGTTAGGTTGTCAAGTCACTTCTGACTCATAGCTACCCCATGTACAACAGAATGAAACACAGCCTAGTCCTGCACCATCCTCACAATCATTGCTATGCCTGAGCCCATTGTTGCAGCCACTGTGTCAGTCCATCTTGTTGAGGACATCACTAAACTGTTAACAATATTACCTGTTAACAATATTTCAAAGAACAATTTTATTCTTATTATTTCCTTAGCAGTTAAGAAATCACACATTGTATTGCACTGGGCAAATCTGCTGCAAAAGATCACTAAAGTGTTGAAGAACAAAGATGACACTTTGAAGACTAAGGTGCAGCTAACCCAAGCCATGGTATTTTTGATCATCTCATATGCATGTGAGAGCTAGACAATGAACAAGGAAGACCAAAGAAAAGTTGATGCTTTTGAATTGTGCTATTGGCAAAGAATCTTGGAAATACAATGGACTGCCAGAAGAACTAACAAATCTGTCCTGTAAGAGTGCACCCAGAATGTGCCTTGGAAGCAAGAAGCCAGACTTGTCTCACCTACTTTGGTTATGTTGTCAGAAGGGACCATTCCCTGGAGAAGAATATCATGCTTGGTAAAGTGGAGGGTCAGAGAAAAAGGAGAAGACCCTTCACAAGATGGCTATTCTTGGTGTTGTTTATCATTGGCCAGTTGGTGGAGAAGGAAGTGGTAGTTCTTTCTTAGTAAGTGAAGCTGCAAGATGTGCATGTGTTGTGTTATATGGGCACTGTTGCTGTATCCTACTCAGTTAGACAAAAACAACACTCAAAAAACCATCAAAAAAGTAAAAGCAAGTGGACAAAAAACACGTAAACATACAGGAACAATCACCTAAATAAATAAATAAATAAATAAATAAATAAATAACCCTGCAATATCTCTGGAGATGGCAATAAGAGAAAAAAAGGTAGAGTAGAAGAATAATGAAGGAAAAAAAATGGAAAAAATGCAAAAAGAAGAAAAAGGAATATGGAGAACCATAAGAAAAAATAAAATGGGAACCAGGAACAGGGAAGAGATTTGTGTGTATTCCATCTGGCAAGGAAAACTAGAATCTAGAAAGGGAAGAATAAAGAACAATAATAAAAAGGAAAATAATAATAATAATAATAATTTTAAAACAAAAACAAACAAACTAAAAGAAAAAGAAAAAAAAAAAAAAATCCGGGCAGGGTGGAGCAGGGCACCCAGGTTGCATTCAAGCACACAGACTGGGATGGAATTCCTGCCCAGAAAGTGGGTGGAAGTGAGGGATGGCTGCACCTCCGTACACCAAAAGGGTGTGGGGTATAAGAATAACAAGGGGAATATCCCACCTTTCCAGTCATGTCCTGATTGTCCTCGTGGTCCCCGGCAAGTGGAGCCTATTCTTAAGTTCCTGGAAGCTGGGAGAATGATGTCACTTTGAATATCCAAAATGGTTGAACCACTTGTAAACAACATTGAAAATGGCTGTGCCCTCTGGACAGGCAAAAGTCCACAGATCAGCCTGCCTTCCCCTTCTCTGCTTCCCCTTTTATTCACCAGCCACCAAGTACAGTCCTCCATGCAGCCCCTGGTTAGCAGGGCTGATTTTTAGGTTAATTCTTAGGTCCAACACCACTAGGCAATATCCAAGCTGCCTGTGCCAACAGGATCGCTGATAGACCTCAGCTCCATATGTCTCCTTCTTCAGTGTTTTCATGAAGGTTCTTTTACTAGTTGGAGTTTAGTCCACTTCTCTATCCTTCCCTTGAAAGCTCAGGGCTCCAGGATTATCTTCTGTATTTGTGTTAATTGGTTTCTATTTTCTTTGTTGAAGAGTGTTTATGCAGTCTGTCTGCTTATCCCTCCATCTTACCAGAACCCCTACATTGTCTATTTCTTGACTGTTAATTTCATTGGTATTGATTGTGGAACCAAGTAATATGAAATCTTTGACAACTTCAATCTTTTCTCCCTTTATTGTGATGCTGCTTATTGGTCCACTTCTGAGGATTTTTGTGTTCTTTGTGTTGAGGTGCAATTTATACTAGACTTTAATCTTCATTAGTAAGTGCTTTCTAGTCATCTTCACTTTCAGCAAGCAAGGTTGTGTCATCCGCATATTGCAAGTTTTTAATGAATTTTCCTCCAGTCCTGATGCCACATTCTTCATATTGTCCAGCTTCTTGGATTATTAGTTCAGCATACAGATTGAATAAGTATGGTGAAAGGATACAAACCTGATGTACACCCTTCCTGATTTTAAACTATGTAGAATCCCCTTGTTCTGGTTGAATGACAGCCTTCTGATCTATGTACCAATTTCTCATGAGCACAATTAAGTGGTTTAGAATTCCCATTCTTCTCAGTGTTATCCATAATATGTTATGATCCACATCTTGATTTCATGTTTGGCCAATTTCAGAGACTGCAGAAGTTGGTAAAAGTCTTCAATTTCCTCATCTTTGGCATTAGTGGTTGGTGCATAAATTTGAATAATTGTACCATTATCTGGTCTTCCTTGTAGGCATATGGATTTTATCCTAGCCCTGACAGCATTGTACTATAAGACATATCTTAAAACATTTTTTTTTTTGAAAATGAATGTAACTCAATTCCTCTTCAATTTGTCATTCCTGGCATAATAGACCATATGATTGCCTGATTAAAAATGGCCAATACCAGTCCATTTCAGCTCACTATTGCCTAGAGTATTATTCCTTCAGTGTTCCATTTCATTTTGACAACTTCCAATTCTCTTAAATTCATGCTTCACATATTCCACTTTCCAATTATTAATGGATGTTTGCGGCTGTTTCTTCCCATTTTGTGTCATGCTTTGTCAGCAAATGAAGTTTCTGAAAGCTTTACTCCACCCACATCATGAAGGTTAGCTCCATTTTGAGGAGGCAGCTCTTTCCCAGTCATATTTTGAATGGCTTCTGACATAGGGGCTCATCTTCCAGCACTATATCAGACAATATTTCACAGCTATTCATAAAGTTTTCAGCAATATATTAGACAGTGCTGTTCATAAGGTTTTATGTTCATAAGGTTTTCAGTGGCCAATTTTTCCAGAAGTGGATGGCCCTCTTCTTTTCTGTCTGTCTTAGTCTGGAAGCTCCACTGAAACTTATGCACCATGGGTGACCCTGCTGGTATTTGAAATACTGGTGGCATAACCTGCAGCCTCACAGCAACACCAAGTCACCACAGTATTACAAACTGACAATATTTAATATCTTACATATTTTTTCCTAATAGTTGACTCAATGGTACATGTTGATAAAATAAAGAAATGTTTCCCTATTTCTGGAATAAATTCAAAAAGCATACTCTTTTTCTATATTTATGTGATCTTTTGAAATTTTTATTTTAGACTTTTTGGAAGTATTTTGCAAAATAAGCATTAATCATTTGAAGTAATGTTAAGCTAGAAATAGAAATTACTAAATACGATTAAGGGCATTTAGGAAAAACACCAACCAACATTATGCTCAATGGAGAAAAAATGAGCTGTTTCCCCTGAAGACCAGGAACAAGATAAGGATGGTTACTTTTAACATTGCTATTCCATATTGTACTGGAAGTTTTGTTGTTGTTGTTGTTGTT